TATATATATATATATATATATATATATATAGCATTTGTTTCTATTCTAATTTGCATGATTAAAAATAATTTTAATTATCCATTTTTTTATTTAAAAAATAATAACATGATAATCACAGTTCATTAAAAATTACACTAATGTATGAGCTTTAAACAAAGTCATGATACATATTATGAGTAGTATTTGACTCATGTAGCTTACCATTATATATCTCTGATTTTTTTAATTAAAATATCTCCACCATCCTCTTAAATGACATATCATGAACATCAAGTAAATTAATAGCGTGCAAAGAGTTTAGTCTTAATAAAACAACACCATGTTACATATCTCTGCTTGTCAAGCAATGAAAGCATCCTTCCATATCTCACAACCATATGTCTAAATTTCCCTTTGATTTAATTCACTGTGACATGTGAGAGTTTTATTATATAACAGAACACACCTAACATAAACATTTCTTAACTATTATTAATGTTTAAACTCAATATACGAAGGTGTTTCCTCTTAAAATAAATTTGATGTTTTTAGAGTTATTCAAATTTTTTTAATATTATCTCAACCTAATTTCATAAGAAAATTAAAATATTTTAGTCCGATAATGCCAAAGAACTTAACTTAATGAATTACTTAGTAATTAATGTATTATTCATCAATATTCATTTATTGAACTACCATAATAAATCTCTGTTGTTGCTGAAAAAAAACATCAACATATGTTAAATGGTGCAGAGCTTTATATTTTTAATCAAGAATTACTATTCAATTATTGAATGAATGTAGTCTAACCACTACCTTTTTAAACATCCAACACCCTTTTCCATCCTTTATCTCAATATGAACTTATGTATAACACCATTGTACATTATTCTACATTTCTACCTGCTTCAAATTTCTTGTAATTGCTACCATTTTAACTAGCCAATGAACAAAAATTTTTCCACATGCTAGCACTTTTTTTTACTTGGCTATCTTTCAGATATGAAAGGGCATAAATTATACGGCATTCAAACTAAAAAAGTATTTATTTTGTATAATATTTTTTTTTTTAATGAAGACCAACTTATTTTCCATTAGATCTCCACAACATATATCAATAGTGATCATTTTCTTGAACTTGTCATCCCTAACACTATTAAGAGCATATACCTTCATCCAACACAGCACAACAAGTTGAAGCCCCCACAATGGATAATTCTGCAAGCCAGGATCATATAACTAATCATATTGTTGTCCCTAGACAAAAATCAACTATAGTTAGTCGACTTCCTTCATATTTACATGAATTATCCATTACATCACCAAATGAAAGTCACAAAACTCAAATCAATGTTAAATATCCCATATCTCAATATCTTTCTTATGGCTAGATCTCTAATACCTATAAAATATTTGTTCTAAGCATCTCCAAGCTAACCATTATGAACCACATTCTACCACTAAGCTGCTCATATCATTGAATGGCAAAAGCTATGCAAGAAGAGTTGTAATCAAACCCGATCTACTGTCCAACTGGCACCATATAAACAATCTATTTGGTGCAAATGGACACAAAAATCAAATGCAATTCCGATGGCACCACTAATATATACACAACACAATTAGTTGCCAAGGGTTATGCACACTCCACATAAACATATAGGTTTTATTGAACCTATTTCACAAGTTGCGAAAATAACTACTGTCAAAATTTTGCTTGCTTTAACAACTAGTAATAATTTGATCCTTAATTAACTAGATGTCAACAATGTCTTCTTACATGACAATTTATTTGAATATATTTATGTATATTTTCCATAAGATTATAAAGATAATAATTAGATAACTAGTCGTAATCATAAATTTGTTCATAAACTGATAAATTTTTATATGGTCTCAAGCATACTTCTATAAAATGGTATTCAATATTGCTCTACACAATCTAAATCAAATTATTAAGAAAATGATACTAATTTTATTATGCTTTTAGCTTACGTGGATGATATAACTATTATAGGGCCTTCGCTACATTCCATTAATTCATTGAAGATCTTCTTGCATAGCCAATTCAAGCTTAAAGATCCAGGCGATTTTAGAAACTTTTTAGGCCTTGAAATTGCTTGATCAAATAAAGTAATAGTTCTCAGCTCAAGACATTATACCTCGCAACTTTCCTCAAATACAATATATCATGGAAACTAATTTGTTTGCACACTTATGGATCCAAAACTCATCTTAGTGTTGAAGATGGAGAGCCCCTACCGGATGCCACCGCTTTTTGACGATTGGCAAGTCATCTTATTTATTTAACTTTATCAAGACCTGATATTACTTTTACTATGCACAAACTCAATCAATTCATGAGCAAACATAAAAAATCAAATATAGTAGCCCATCATTGACTCCTTCGATATCTTAATTCCATTCCTAGACAAGGAACCATCTTCTCAAACAACTACTCTCATCAATTGAAAGCCTTTTCTGATGTTGATCAGAAATCATGCCAATACAAGATGATTCTTCACCGAAATTTACAATTTTCTCTGAGATTCTCCAATATCATGAAAATTAAAGAAGCAAAACACTGTCTCTAGATCATATGTCAAGGCCGAATATAGAGTTTTAGCCACCATCTTTTATGACAATCAAATAGCCATACATAACTCCACCAACCCTACTTTTTATGATTGAACAAAACATATAGAAATAGATTATCATTTCTTTCACGACAAACTTGTATGAGCCACATCAAAATTAATGTCTATTCAAACTAAACATCAACTCATTGGTATCTTAACCAAAGCCCTTCATGGCTACCAACATTCCTTTTAAGCACAAGATGACCGTCATAAAAATTAACAACCCATGATATTGCCTACTTACTCTTCAATAACAATTTTATGTTATTTTTATTTGTTTTTGTTCTAATATGCTTGACAAAAATAATTTTATTATGAATTTTTTAGTTAAATAATAATGATGATAATCACACTTCATTAAAAAAAATTTGCAATAATGCATGAGAAAGCCACGAGGCAATCCATGATTAGTATTTGCCTCATCCAAAATTTATAACATTAAAATTACATATAAAGTAACATGAAACCTCACCGATCATCGTTTTTTTTTTGTTTTATACATATCCACCATCCCCTTAAATAACATATCATCATCATCATCAGGATGTAAATTATTATATTTGGAGCAACCTAGAATGTGAAATAAATCTTAGTTTAATCCAAGATTTTCTCTCTCGTACAATTTTCTTTTGTAAACCTTAAATTTGAGTCATTTCGAGAGTAGAGAGGTGTAACTGAAATGCAAAAAATGTTATTGGCAACCTGAAAGATGGAACCCGAAGTGCAAGAAAGTTTGTGTCTGCCGGTTTGTTGCACCAAATGTCGTCGGCGACGGAAAAGAAGTAATCCTAAGGGCGTATAAAAAGAAACGATCCTGAAGGGCAATAAAAGATTTTTAAAAGCAAGATAAACGGTTTACATTTCAAAAATTACATTTTTACTTTTGTCGCGCAAACACATCAATCAATGTGTCTGGTAGAACTTTTGGCTTCACACATTTTCAGAAGAGAAAATAATATTTTAAATCGAATTCACTCACGCAAAAAAAATTAATTAGAGTTTGGACATAATTCTACATTCACACTTCGGACTTAATATTTCTTCCTAAAGTTGAGACAGAGTAGAAATCATGGCCTTGCGTGGCCTGCATAAGGCTTCGAGAGGAATTGCTTTAGGCATTGTGATGCCCGAGCCTTCCTTCATGTCCACCTCCTCCGATCCAATCCTTCTCCACTCAAAACATTGAATCAAAGTACCCAAAACCAAGCCCACCTCTCTCATGGCAAGTCCTTCCCCCGGGCATCTTCTTCTCCCCATTCCGAAAGGAATCATCTTCCCTCCTTCAACTTTGTTGTTTTGAAGAAACCTTTCTGGAAGAAACTTTGTCGGCTCCGGCCATTTCAAAGGTTCCCTTTGAATCATATAAGCATTCACCAAAAGCATCGTTCCCCTCGGTATATTATAGCCTCCTACCATGCAATCTTCTAATGACTGATGAGGTGCAAGAAGGGGACCTCCTGGATACATTCGAAGCGTCTCGTTGATGACACAGTGGAGATATGGAAGTTTGTCGAGATCTGACTCTTCAAGTAGGCGACCATTCTCTAATTTCTCATCAATTTCTTCCCCAAGCCTTGCAAGTTTTGTAGGATTGTTTAGTAGGAGAGACATTGCCCATTCTATAGTGTTTGATGAAGTATCTGTTCCTGCTGCTAACAAATTCTGTAACAGAGAGAATAATGAAGGGGCTTTAGATATAAGGTAACCGTGATAAGAGAGAATAACAAAGGTTAATAACAGAGTGAAGGTTTTAAGTATAAGGTAACCGTAGTAAGAGCCTTGATGAAACGATCATCATATTGTTCGGGATAGGTTCTCTGGAGTGATAAGAGAGATTCTATCATTGTTCTATGATTCCTTTGATCTTCCTTTGATAACTTTCCTACTTCTTCTTCTTCCACCTTCATGTTTCTCCTACACTCATCTAGAAGTGCCTGCATAAAATCATCCTTGTAACCATGAATCCGAGCGAGCTTACTCCACGTTCTTCGTCGAGCAAACCACCCAACCAATATAGGAAGGAAGTCTCCAATGTTTGAAACACCGCTAAGAGTGAAACCCTCTTGGACTATCTCTCTGAAGCGCCGCGCCTCCCCATCGTCAAACTCTTCACCATAGTATCGCTTTCCGACCATCATCTTCATCATCACGTTCATGGCCAGACCAAAAAGCCTCGACTTGAGCTCCACCCTCGTGAAATCTGCATGAGTGGAATCACGAAAGAGTCGACGAGCTAAGGCTCGGGCCTCGTCTGCCCGGACATCTGAGAAGAAGGCGAGGCGGTGCCCTGAAAGGATTTCGACGGTGGCTATGCGGCGCATATCGCGCCACAGAGGGCCATAGGAGGCGGATGCTATGCTGGAGTAGTTGTAGGTGGAGGCGCGGGAGGAGGGAAATTTGGGGCGGTCGGCGAAGGAGAGGTCGTTGGTGGTGAAGCATTCTTCAGCGAGGGAGGCGGAGGAGACGACGAGGACTGGGCGGTTGCCGAAGTGAAGGAGGAGAATTGGGCCGTGTTGGGCCGAGAGACGTGCAAGGGATTGATGGAGCGGTTTTTGGAGGAGGTGGAGGTGGCCGAGGATGGGAAGGGAATTGGGAGGGCTTGGAGGAAGTTTCTTCTTCTTGTTCTTGCCGTTGGTTACCAACTGTTTGGTTAGGAGGAAGATGGAAAGGAGGAGAGCTAAGTAGCTGAAAATGGAGATCCCTTCCATGGCAGAAAGATCAATAATTTCACAGCAGAAGAGATTTGATTGATTTGTGCATTCAAACATCGAAGGCTAATCAATATATAGAATTTTTCATGCTCAATTTTTGAAGAAAAAATATTATCTCAGGAGTACTGATGCATCAGTATTTCAATGTACACGTATACAATGATTCAACCAGAATGCTACGTGGCACCTCCTCATTGAAGTGCATCAATACTCATGAGATAATATTTTTTTCATTTTTGAATAGCTGAGATTGGTGAGGTCAATCGAGACAGCTGCCATCTTGATTGGCTACATTGACATATCCCACTTAATTGTTACATATTTACATAACCAACACTTGGGCCTTACTTTTAATATTTATATCACATAAATCTTTAATATCACATCAGAATACGATTTATTTTTATCTCAAGAAAATAAAAATAAGTCTAATCATGTAAACGTGTGAAGCGATGCGTATGTCAAAATGGAAGTTTAGAGGTTAGATATTAACATAAATAGGTATTGAGTGTGGTGGGTATGTAAATCTTCCTATAAGCTATTAATTTGTTAGGCGTTGAATGTTCATCAAATTAGATAGACATAATATATGAAGACTTTTTTGTATAATACAAAAAAAAAAAACCGTTATTACAGGCAAAAAAAAAAATTGTGATAAAACATACCAACTCAAATTAGCTTCGATTACAAAAAATATTCTTCATTTTATTTGATAAATAAGAGATTACAAAAATGATGTACTCAAATTTGATCTCTAATAATAGGGGTGTAAACGAACCGAACACGAACAAACAGAGCTTGTGTTCGTGTTTGATTCGTTTGAAATTTAGTTTGTTTGAAATAAGCTCGTGTTTGAAATTGTTCGTGAAATCACTGTTCGTGTTCGTTTCTTAACGAACGACCCAAACACGAGTTGTTCGCGACCGACAGGCCCTTATATATAAATAATATATTATATTAATTATATAACTTATATTATATAAACATATAATATCTATATTACTAATATAGTATATTAATATATTATTATTATTAATTTATTAAATATTATAATTTATAAATTTAATTTTTTTAAAATATCATAAATTTTTATATATAATTATTTTAAATTATTTTATATTTCAAAAAATAACATTCGAACACGACCGAACGCATCAGTTTTCGTGTTTGATTCGTTTAACTAACCGATCGAAAAAAATTTGTTCACGTTCGTCTCGTTTACTTATCGAACGAATCGAACACGAACTCATTGACGAACCAAACAT